ATACGACGAGGTGGTGGTCATTCCATTCGACATCATCGCAGAGCCATCGGAAGAGTTTGATAGGGAACGGATTGTGTTCAGCCAATGTTGTCTTTGTGCTTGAGCTTCACGGAAGATGGAAGGTCTGAGCGTCTGCCTCATTTTTCTAGATTGTCTTCCTTTAGATGAAAGGAACTGTTGTAGTTTTGTTGGCGGAGATGTTTCCTGTAGCGTTGATATGCAACCGAAGGTACCAACGGATCTTGCTGTAATGGCGGTGCGACTTGCTCCTGATATGATGTATCCGAAGATTATTGGGGTCAAAATGAGCCCTGAGGGGAGCGTGAGCACTCTCTCATTTCGAAGGATGACAAGATTTATGAGGTCTTGCCCGATGATCAGGTCCGGTAGAAGGCTTTTGTGAGAGAGCGTATCTGAGCAAACATCAGCTTTCCGTCTTCGATGAAACGCAAGTCGGCCTCCGTGAGGCTTGCCGTCTGCATATCAGTAGTCAGCTTCTGCTTTGTATGCAATGATAACTTCTTGAGCTTCTCGGCGCTGTGAAGACTCTTCCAGGTGATGTGCACTTCAGATGAGTTGAATTTCTCTTGATGCTCGCCCTTGTCCATTCCTGATGTAGTGAAAGAAGTAGTTCGAGCGATCGGAAGCTTGAGTTCTTCACAGAGTCTTGCTTTGATGAAGCTTCGTTGCGCCCCGGAGTCAAGAAGTATGGTCGTTGGTTGGTAGTCCCACTCTGCTTCATTGAAAATCAATGCTGAGGCGATTTGAAGAACGCTGATTGTGCGCAAGTGGAAGTACGTCTGAGATGTGACTCCTTGTTTATTCCCTGAGCCTTGTACGACGTGCATGTTACTAATCTCGCGACAATTCTGGTTGGTGTCACGTTGTGTCCAAGGAGGTGAATGTTGATGATCGTCGACTGTAGGATAGCGGGATTGTGCGAAGAATCCACTGCGTTGTCTTTCTTCTGTCATGCAAAGAGATCCGTGGTGCGATCCCTGGCATTGAGGACATACTCCAATATTCGTACAAGCGTTTGAGTCGTGGTTTCTTACGAAACATCTCCAGCACGCTCCTTGGTTTGTTGCTTCAAGTCGTCGAGCATCTGGAGTGGTGTATCTCTGGCAGGTATATGGCGAATGTGGTTGTCCACATAAACACAAGCGTCTTGGTTTTGAAAGGTGTTCTTTTCCTTCGCATCTGGTAATCCTTTCATTTTCTTGGTTCTTCGAGTGGTAGTCGGTTGGAAAGAGAGTTTCCGTAGTTAGCAAGATTGTCTCTCGCAATGATATGATGTTGTCGATAGCGTTCAGGATTTCGCTAACGTCAAATGAATCATCTTATACAGCTTCCTTTTGAATGACGGTGGCACATATGGATTCGGGAAACTTGGAGAAGACTATTCGGCGCTAAACTCTGTCTGCGTTCATCTTCGTTCCCGTTTGTTCCAGGTGAATGATCCTCGAGTAAATGGCTTCGAAGGTGTCTCGGCAACTTTCCGGATCATCTGAGGCACTGGGTAGTTTTTCGATCTCGTTTATGAGTATGTCCGCCATGTTGGCAGAGCGATCGAAGTGTTTCTTCAAGATATCTATCGCTGTCTGATATCTTTCTCCGACGACGGGGATGCAGCGCAGGGTGTCTGCTGCTTTTCCCTTCAAGGCTTGTTTCAAAAACAAGAATTTGTCCGTGTCGGATAACTCCTCGTCGGTGTGGATAAGTGATTCGAAGACTGTCCAGAAACTGTTGAACTCCCGGAAATTGCCTGAGAACGTAGGAATTTCAAGCATGGGCTTCCGAATCCTGATCTGTCTTTCGTTGCGTTCCGGAGTTCCAGCTTGCCCGACTTCACTACTTGGCTGACTCGGTATGTTGGAGTATTGCAGTGCACAAGCGCACTTCTTCCTTGAGTTCATGTTGTCGAAACCGGATTCTGTTCTGCCACTGTACTGCCATGACCTCCAAATGAAGAGAGTTCAACTCAAGGTGTTTGCTGAGCTCAGTCATCAGCTTTTCTCTTTCTTTTTCCTCGTTTCTTGAGCCGATGTATTCAATTGTGGCATTCACTTGAGCGTCTTGAAGTTTGACAGCATTTTGCAGAGAGTTGAGCAAGTGCGTGATTTCTCCCATTCTCCTTTTGATATATGTCTCGCATTCAGTCTTGTCCACAGGAAAAGTGAATGGTGTGTCAATTTTATCCACTTCCGACTCGTATGACTTCACAAGTGCGCAGGCATTGTTGATTTTCGATTTGAAAATTTGGAGCGCTGCCATTTTTGTATCGCACAAAGTTGTGTTCGGTGCGTCCGTTGAGTGCTGGTTGCGTGAGATGTGTATCCTCGTTGTAGACTTTGGATTGAGGACGACAGCAAGGCTGGCCTCATATGATAGGTGTCCTTACTGGGTGCAAGGAAGCCTTCTAGTGAGCTGGCAATTGGGTGCCGAGCTTTTACTAGCTGTCACCAAGCGTGCCTTGTTGGCTTGAACGCTGTGCTGGACGGTAAGGTGTGTTGAATCTGTACCGTGAGGATTGAGAGCTTGAGTTCTTGGTGGAACTTCGAAGCTCAACATGTAAGATTTTTTGGTTCTTGACTTGTTCTTTCTTCCGTTGACATCTCTTTTTTCTAACTCTGGTTCCTTTGCAGGACTCGCGAAGAGATTAGTGAGATTGGAAGTGCACACACAAACTGATTCACTCCCTGGTTCCTTACGAAAAGGACGCGCGAAAAGAGGTTCACAAGTTGTGGTGGTGTTTGCTGCACAAAATTCTTTCTACTCCCTGGTCTCTTACGAAAAGAGCGCGCAAGGGAAGTTTTCAGAAATTAAGTGTTTAGCTACTACCAACTGGTCCTTTACTATCCTCTGGTCTCTTACGAAAAGAGCTCGCGAAAGGGGTTCAATCTGCAGTGGAGTTGTTGCACCGACTGTTTTCTTTACTACTCTCGGGTCTCTTACGAAAAGAGCGCGCAAAGAGAGGTTCAATATTCAGTAGTGTTACCTGCCAGCTGGTCTTTTACTACCCTCTGGTCTCTTACGAAAAGAGCTCGCGAAAGGGGTTCAATTTGCAGTGGAGTTGTCTGCCGACTGGTCCTTTACTATCCTCTGGCCTCTTACGAAATGAGCTCGCGAAAGGGGTTCAGTTTGCAGTGGAGTTGTGGAACCAGCTGTTTTCTTTAGCCCTCGGGTCTCTTACGAAAAGAGCGCGCAACGAGAGGTTCAATATTCAGTGTCCTGCCACGCGGGTCTTGTAGGCCTTGATTTCCGAGGGGAAATGCAAGGAAGTTCCCGGGGGTGGCGGACTTTATGAACGATAGCGCGCGCTTAGGCAGGCATGTGTCAATAAGGTGCGCACCGTTAGCCCCGCCTATCGCTAGATGGACGAGTTTCCTGCACTACAGCTTGGACACTGGTTCATAGCCATGTTCACTATAGTCACTATAGTTCACTAAAATCAGTCCTTGATATTAAGTCATAAGCTTGCTTCAAGCCGGGGAGAAGCTTATTATATACAGAATCGTTTGTTTTCTTGTTATTTTTTGCCCATTTGTGAGATACTAATCTCTTGAATGTTTTGCTGATTCATCGTCAATGACCGAGTGTCTTCGTAGCAAATTTGAAGTGTGAAATCAATCTAGAACACCTCAGGCATGATTGTCTGGGTGACCTCATATCTTTAACTGTTCAAAAACTTAGTTTTGTGATAAAAGAGATAATCGTGTTGGTCATTTCAGCAGTAATAATAATATTCCTCGATAAGCTGACGCCTTCTTGAACTGAACTTGAGAGTGTACAATAAAGAATATTCGATATAATAACAGATGTGAGTAAAGAGAATTGAAACACTTTTTCCAAGCATTTTCGGAACAAATTCCTCACAGTTGCTATGAAAAATCAATTTGGACAAACCTACTAGGAACAAACTGAAACACATCTAAAATGAGCTTCCGAACTAATTTGTAATGAAAAATGATTCTGAAAGCTGGTTTTCAATTCAGTTGTAATTTTGAATTCTATTCTATATCCGAATTGCAGCTAACTGAAGAAGCATGAACGAAATATTAGAGTTTTCTGATAGTTGCAACGCATTCCTAACTAATTGACAAGGAGGCGGAGCGTTCAGCGCATCGCGTACGATACCCAGCAGGCGGCTGGCACTGCTATCGTTCATAAAGTCATACACCCAGTTCCCGGCCGATGCACCAACTCGTATACTTTGTACCTTCTATTCGGTTTGGCTCCGCTTTTCTTCGTATATAAGGAGCCTCCGAATGTATTAGAGGTTGCTCCCCGCTCCACACCGGGACACCTCGTATTCGCTCTCAACTAATCTACGCCAGTGTGAATAAATATTCCACACAACTTCGTCCACCCTACTTCACTTGGTACACACTTCGATTCCCGGCCGATGCACCAATTTGGTGTGTACCAAGTGAAGTAGGGTGGACGAAGTTGTGTGGAATATTTATTCACACTGGCGTAGATTAGTTGAGAGCGAATACGAGGTGTCCCGGTGTGGACCGGGGAGCAACCTCTAATACATTCGGAGGCTCCTTATATACGAAGAAAGGCGGAGCCAAACCGAATAGAAGGTACAAAGTATACGAGTTGGCGCTTGAAAGGAGATGCCGCCGATTGGCTACACTCCTGGCGCACAGGTACCACTCACTCTTGAGTGATCAGATACTCAAGACTGAGTAGCTCACCATTTAGCCTACGGGGACTCCGTAGGCTATGCAGAATATAGAGTTCATCAATGGTTGATGATACAGAAATCATCAACAGTTGCCAAAAATGGATAAAATTGATGACGATCATTGACGTAAAGTACCCTACGACACCCGCCCCACCCGCAGGTGTATGTGTGCCAAGTCTGGTCCAATTTGGTTCAGAAATGAAAATTCTCTACGAAACATAGTACAGATATACAGGCATACCTACATACGTGCATACAGACATACGTACCAACATACATTCAGCTTTATTTATACAGATTATTCCAGCGGAAAGCATGCAGATTAACGTAACTATAGTTAACGCTGATTCCGAGGAAGAAGACGAAGATAATGTTGTATTTATCATGGAGGATGAAGCATTCATCGAATTCACATGCAAGGGTAAATAATATATTTCGCCAAGGCTCAGTATTTGCAAAATTTTTAGCCCCAGCAACTTCGCCCCAGAATTGTGTTCAAAACGGTCAGGCGAAGAAGGCAGAGAAAAAGGGATCACTGAAACAGAAGCGCCGGAACTGAATATCCTACATACATTCACAGGCACTATTAACAACGGTAATGCTATCTGTCATGGCGATCACAGGGATTTTAGGATTGTAGGGTGGGGATACCAGAATATATTTTAGATGCTGATTTCAAGTTTGTCCTTTAACCTGCAAACTTATTAGAGAAGATAGATTCTGCGCTTTGTTTGCACTGTGCGCGGGATGTGCATTCGCTATACTGCAGTGGATTGCAGCGGTATTCCAGTTCGATGCAGAAGTGGTCCGACTCCTGTCTAGTGTTTTGCATTTGCTCTTCTCTATTAACGGAGAAGTATAAGTTGGAAAGAAAAAAATGTCGCTTTTATCGGGTTTTTTCTGCTAAAATTGATATTATTCAAGAACTAATCATATCCAAGACCAAGGTTTTATGGTCAAATCTCGGAGGTTTGCAGCATCCAACGGCATATACGGGAGGAGCTCAGCACCGCCGGGGGCGGAGTTTGCCATTTTTCGTTTTTCACTTTTTTCTACATTTCTAAGCATGAAAAAAATTATAGCAAGTGTACCTATGGATAATTGTATGTGTCAGTTACAGGAGCAAGTGAGAGGATCGTAGGAATGTTTGGGGCGATTATTCGATTTTTGGCATTATGAGTTGCTCTTATGTTTTGGCTCCAAACTTTGGGTAAATCACGATTTCAGGCAAGGTTTAAAGGTCAAGTTGTAGAGCGTCTTTTGCTGACGTTACCGCCTCACATATTTTTTAGTTCTGTCTTGTTGCTTTGCTATAAAAAATAGTATTCTTTTCTTCCCAACCTAATAATAATTGGCGAAGTGGCCATTCGAGAAGGCAAAATTCGAGTTGGGGATTATATGCTCCGGTACATATCTGTTTAGTTTGTATAGGTCCCATAAATTTTTTTCATGTTCGAACCCGCAAAATATTTCTCAAAAGCTAGAGCACCTATAAGGTTGCAAATTTGTTGCAGTATGCCTGAGTGAATACGCACAATTATTTCCGTTGCTTCAGTAAATTGATTATTATTTATTTTGAAACTTGTTGCGGATCAAGATTGATGCGAACTCTTGAACGCCATCTTGCAGAGCTTGAGGGATCAAAGCAAAAAAAAAATGGGTCAAGACGGTACCTCGGCAAAATGGATCCGGTGCCGTTTTTGTGGTGCTAGCTATTAGACCCCCAAGTAAACCGTAGCTCCAACCACATCCTTCAGCTCATGCGCTATCCTGAAAATGCTCCACAAAAGCCCACCATTGACGCCCATTCTGTGGAAGTGGGCGGGATTAGTGGGCTTTTAGAGCTCATTTACAGAACTTAGCGCATGATCGGAAGGGTGAGGTTGGGCTGCGGTGCTTGCATTTGGGGGGGGGGGGGAATCTGTCGCCTAACACCACCAAGATCTGACAAGTGTCCATCTTGTTGAGCCAATGCATTCAAAGCAGTACTCTTGTTCATTAGTAACATAGTTGTTCATAGTGAAGAATGAGAGATACTCGAAAGCAGAATCTTTCACTATACACATAGTGAAGAAAGGGTTAATCAATTTCCTGCATGATCTCGTGATGATCCCTAGTGGCCAGCCATCGGTTTTGAAAGTAATTTTCTTTCTGCGAACTTGATGAAAACGCTCCAGAGGTACGTTGACTGTCTTTGTAATACATCGAAGCGAAGGGAATATTGATAAACCACAGGTTGAAACTCAGAGCAGAAGCCTTGGGAAATAGTTTTTCTGACTTGTACAAACCGATGCAACCTCCCCCCCCCCCCCCGGCATATCCAGGAAATGTTCAGCGAATACGGAAGGAAGACGTAAAATCGGCAGTTGCGGATCGGTTATATGAGATCTTTCTAATCACAGACGACCACGGTCTCAATCTTTCGCATTTAAAGGCAGAGCCCGGGCAAAAACTCGAGTGCTAGAAAATCCACTTACCGGGGGCTATCCGCAATGCTAAATCCAAAAATCCACATTAGAAGGCGCGAAAACGGCGAGAAAAAACGTCTTCCAAAGCTGCACAGTTTGAAATTTGAAGGTCCTTACTAAGGCAGAAACGCAGAGTCGCTGTGACCCTACATTTTAACTGTGGCGGCATGCGTATCTGCCGCATAGCAGGAAATCGGACAGCTCGGAGGACCCCTCCCCAAGGCGTAAGTTTCCCCACTTTTCAGTCATTTTTCTTACTTTAGGTCAAGCGTTATGACGTCGTACTTGCGCGATGTTGTACCTGAGGGGGGCCACTCTCGCATGGCACTGAAATCCCGAAACTCCCATCTTGCCAAGATACTGCCTTTAATGGCTATCAAAATCTGCTGCGAAAGAAGTTGCAAAAAAGTTCTGCGAGAGTTTGGCACATACCATTAGCCATCCTAGCTTTTGCAAGAATGTATTTATACTCTTTGAGTGGAAAAATCATCCCATCAAGGATCAAATTAAGTGGTTGTTGCCAATTTGTGCAGTACGTCGACTTTGGGCATCAAGACCCTTTTTTGTGAGACTAAGCAAAGTTTTCGATTGCATAAGGAATCTTACCGGGAGAAATCTCTGCGATCGCCTATGTAAAACAATAGAAAAAAGACAAATTATTTCAGGGCAATATTCACTCAACTTGAGTGAATTGTAATTCTCACTCCTCATGTACGTTCTGCGATCTCTATCTGATTTCGGTGGAGCCGATGCTGCAAGCAGTTGATGGTTTCTCTTACTGCTCCTAACAGCACTCTCTCATAAAAAATAACGTAATGTTAGATTGCAGATGATTTTGTAACACAAAAGTTGACAAGGAGATTCTTTATAGTGACTGTGGCTTTTTGAGGTAAGATGTGTACTAGTGTACTCCTTTGGAAGGCCCAAAATGTGCTTACCATTTCTGCTGAAAGTTCTTCTGAAGGAAGTTAGGGAGTTTCTCGCGTCAGGTCTGCGCCGCCTAGAAAATAATGTCAGCTGCTTCAAACAGGTAAAGTGTACTGTAGTGCTTGTTATACCCTCACAAGGACTAAGGGCCGCATGCACTATCCTCCCCGCTGGGGAGGGATCGCAGCTTAAAAGAAAGCTTTATATTTCGAAACTCCAGATACCTGGATTTCACGTTGTGTACCTATTCGTAAGTATTCCTACTACCCTTCACTATGAACATGTTGAAGAGGAGCGAGAAGCTGCACGAACCGCATTCTCCAGCTTTTGTATGATCCCCGATGATCCCCGGCGCTTTTCTTTAAAGTCATTTTTCTTTCTCCGAAGTTAACGAAAACCTTCCAAAGTTGTACTGAACATCTAACACAACAGTGCTAAGCATGTTGCTGATGAGAACAAATAGGTTTTTAAAAAGTCGAATTTTTCGATAAACCTCAAATTTCGACCTGTGGATCATCGAAAATTTCATGACTTCAAAACATCATTTGTTCTTATCACGAACATGCTTAGCACTGTCGGGTTGGATAATCTGCACAACTTTGGAGGTTTTTCGTTAACTTCGGAAAAAGAAAAATGGCTTTAAAGAAAAGCGCAGGGGATCATCAGGGATCATACAAAAGCTGGAAAAAGCGGTTCGTACAGCTTCTCGCTCCTCTTCAACATGTTCATAGTGAAGGGTAGTAGGAATACTTACGGATAGGTACACAGCGTGAAATCCAGGTATCTGGAGTTTCGAAATATAAAGCTTTCTTTTAAGCTGCGATCCCCTCCCCGCGGGGAGGTTAGTGCATGCGGCCCTAAGTGATCTTGTGTGGAGCTTCTTGTAGTTTTCACTTTTGCTCTACCTCCGCAAAGCTTTCGTTTGGCATCCGCAAGATGAAATACCATTACTCTTCAAAAATATGGAATTGGAAACTGACAACCATCAGCACCAAGATGTATTCACTCACCAAAATTTGAACAAATCTATGCAAACCATAGCAAGTGAATCACACTAATCGGAATGAATTGTTTTTAGAACAAGAATTTACCCATCACAAACTGCTTGTAAATGATTGTAAATCTCACCTGAAAGAGCCACGGTCACCAAGCATCCATCCCTGTTAGCACCGGACGCCACTAAGAACGTGATGTGTGCGTAAGAGCATAGGTACTGTATTAGAGTGTTTCATAATTTTTTACCGTTTCAACCTCAAACATCAGCATTTTTCGAGAACTAGGGCACTTACAAATGGTACAAATACATAGTTGTATTTCTGTATGTCTGAGCTATATGATCACTTGCGTGGGAGGAGGTCAGAGCATCTAAGGGCGGAGTTTGCCATTTTACTCCATTCATTTTTCCTCATTTCTAGCCATAGAAAAGTTACGAAAAGTGTACCAATGAATGTTCGATGTGTCAAGCATATGCTAGGATATATAGGAAAATTTTGAAACTTTTTTGGGGTGGCAACACGATTTTTGACGGTAATGTTCGTTTTCGACTGTTATCAGAACTCAGCCAAAACTTTACGTGGAATACCATTTGGGCGGACTCTTCATAACCATCTTGTGGAGCATACTTTGCTCTGTCGATTTCTTGAGCCATTTCAATTGAAGGAGAGATAGAAACGACGGTTATAGTAAGGTAAAAAATTATGAGACACCCTAACACGTCGTGGAAGTCAATACTTTCAACCTGAATTGCTGTCATAATTTCTTATTTTTTTCCCATTGTGCAGAGGAGTGGAGACTTTACTAGGTCACCTTGTAAGTTTTTCTGCTCATTGCCGATCCAAAAGTGCCCTGGAACTATAAATGTGGGAAAATCTCTTCGACTTCGTATATTACAATTTTTGAAGGTGTTTTGAACATCATTAGAACAATGAAGAGATCGAAGACGCTTGAAGCTCATCTTTTCAGTCTTATTGATTTTCGTCTATCTCTCGACTTTTGCGCCATCATCGCTGAATTCTGTCATTGCCTATTTGACGTTTGTTTGTAAGGCTCAGCTTTTGTCTTCTTGTGTTGTATAGCCCGAAAGTACCATTAGAAGCTAATTCTGCGATATGCTCTGGAAGAGTAGCTTTTGTGTGCATCAGTAATTACCTATACGAACAGGTTTTTTCATGAATGAATATTAGAAACCTCTTGCAGGGATTGAAGTGATTTTCTGAAGTTATCCAATATTGCTAGGACAAAGTTTTGAACAGTGACAAAAGAACCCAAAGAATCAAGCACCATGTATGGCAATGGTTCACCGTGCTCTGTACACTAGTTTTTCGCAAGTTTTTCATGTCATTGTTGTTTGAGGAAGTTCTATACCAAGTTTGCAAATGTAATTCTCCATGATCTGGTAGAAATTTGTAAAAGGATTGATTTTGATGCGAAATTCGAAAAAAATTGCTCTGACAATAGTCAAAGTTCAAAATCACAAAGGTAGACTTCCCGTGCGAAGTGTAAGCTCAGATGTTCAAAGTACCAATTACTACGTAATATATAACGAATTCGTTGTTTACCCATTAAGCCGCCGATAGTTGGATCATGGCAAACGAGGAGGCCGCAGACGTAAAAATTATGATGAAATACACTGATCTTTGGAATTGGATTGCTGCCAAGTGGCGTTTTGGAACGCTGCCAAATTTCATAACGAATGACTAAGCGTATTTTCGTAAAAGGGTTACACGTATTTCGAAAAGCAATCATGAGTGTCGCAATGAGAGACTGGGTCGCCATCGGTCACTGGCGACCCAGTCTCTCATTGCGACACTCATGATTGCTTTTCGAAATATTGGGTGTATGCCCTTCTGAACCGCTTCGTCCTAGCGCTAATTACTCTGCCTGGGCGGCGCTAATTACTCTGCCTTTCTTATAATCTATCAGAGTTTTCAAATATCTCTGAGCATTCCAAAGCAAGCGAGGCACACAAATAATGATAGTGACGATGTTTGGATTATGAAAACAAAAAGTTGGAAAAGTTGCATGTTTTTTCACTGGCCTTTCGTGATTTCTTCGCCCTTCCCACTTTTCAAAACACCATGAAGTCTGCACATGTAAGCTGAAGAATTTACCTTAGCTGCCCATCTATAACATTTTTGAGTTTCATGGGAAATTGACGTCTATAACGACAGCATAGCTCTCGCCTACCCAAGTGCCGCGGCACGCCGACCAATCAGAGGCCGCGCACTAATTAGGCTGCTAACGCTAGCGGTTCAGAAGGGCCGTCTCCCTTCCTGTTAGGTACTTTTGAAATAATGCCAAATTGCGAACAGCTTGACTTGAGCTGAATTTATCTATATTCTCAAATCTTGGTAAAAATGCTCTAACTAAGAACAGTCACTTTAGAATTATTTTGCTTCCGCGTGTAGACAAGAGAGGCGTGAGTAACTTGGCCTCGCTGGTACTTTTGAAAGCGTTTATTTAACAACAACCTTGCTTTGCTTGTGTAACTGGGTACCGCTGGTGCTTGAACTAGGTATCGGTGTGTAAGCGGCACCTAGGGCAATTCGATCGGGCAGGGAAACAGATTTGGGGGGATTTTTTTGGGGCATTTCTCAGACTTGAAAGTCCCAAAGTGACATGTACGGCAATTTGAGAATACGCTGTAAATACTTGAATTCGTTGTTTTTTTTGTATGGTCGTAGTTGGTTTTTCTTACATATACGGTCTTCAAGCGGCACATAGGGCATAAACTTTCTTTCTGAATACTTACTATCGGTCTGTAAGCACGTAGGGCAACTCGATCGGGAGTTTGGGGCAGTTCATATAATTTTCTGAACGGTCTTCAAGCGGCACATAGGGCAAAATTTCCTTTTTGAATATAAGCTCCTGCAAGACGAAGGCGGTTGGTTCGAGGTGCGACGTGGCTGTGACGCGGCTGTGACGCTGCTGCGACGCAGCCATGTCGCAGTCGCGTTGCATATTGAACCGACCGCCTTCGTCTTGCAGGAGCTTATACTTACTATTGATCTGTAGGCGGCACGTAGGGCAACTCGATCGGGCAGGGAGACAGATTTTTGTGTGTTTGGGGCAGTTCTCAGACTTGAAAGTCCTAAAGGACATGTACGACAATTTGAGAATACGCTGTAAATACTTGAATTCGTTGTTTTTTTGTATGGTCGTAGTTGGTTTTCTTATATATACGGTCTTCAAGCGGCACTTAGGGCATAAACTTTCTTTTTGAGTACTTACTATCGGTCTGTAGGCGGCACGTAGGGCAACTCGATCGGGCAGGGAGACAGATTTTTGTGTGTTTGGGGCAGTTCTTGTAATTTTTGAACGGTCTTCAAGCGGTACATAGGGCAAAATTTCCTTTTTGAATAGTTACTATCGGTCTGTAAACGGCACGTAGGGCAACTCGATCGGGCAGGGAAACAGATTTTTGTGTGTTTGGGGCAGTTCTTGTAATTTTTGAACGGTCTTCAAGCGGCATATAGGGCATAAATTTCTTTTTTGAATAGTTACTATCGCTCTGTAAGCGGCACGTAGGGCAACTCGATCGGGCAGGGAAACAGATTTCTGTGCGTTTGGGGCATTTCTCAGACTTGAAAGTCCTAAAGTGACATGTACGGCAATTTGAGAATACGCTGTAAATACTTGAATTCGTTGTTTTTTTTGTATGGTCGTAGTTGGTTTTTCTTACATATACGGTCTTCAAGCGGCACATAGGGCATAAACTTTCTTTCTGAATACTTACTATCGGTCTGTAAGCACGTAGGGCAACTCGATCGGGAGTTTGGGGCAGTTCATATAATTTTCTGAACGGTCTTCAAGCGGCACATAGGGCAAAATTTCCTTTTTGAATATAAGCTCCTGCAAGACGAAGGCGGTTGGTTCGAGGTGCGACGTGGCTGTGACGCGGCTGTGACGCTGCTGCGACGCAGCCATGTCGCAGTCGCGTGCCCCGTAAGGCAAGGGTGCGTTTTGGA